GAAAAACTGTACAGTGAAGCACATATGCACGTTTACTATTGACTGCGAAAGTGACGGCGCCCCACAAAATACTGCACACCATGGGTCCATTGCCGCCATTAGTACAGTAAAAGTTAAACTGACATTTGAGTCACAAGATGAGACTGAATTCCGTAAAAAACCGAATGCCAGAAAAAAAAATATTTTTAGAGCGCAGCTTTTAGGCGCCCGCTTGCGGGTTTCGCGGCGTCGCCGTCGACGTCGGCGTAACCACGCTAAATTTAGCGGGAAAACTGACGTCACGTGCCCTCAACACCAATTGAATTCCCCGCTAAATTTAACGGGGAATCGAACTGGTGTTCTCGTCACGTAACGTCAGTTTTCCCGCTAAATCTAGCAGAGAAACAATTTGTTCATAGATGACGTTACACCAAGTCATGTGACGTCATGTTCCCAGCGGGGAAACTGAACGGGTGTTGAGGTCACGTGGAGCCAATTTTTCAGCTAAATTTAGTGGGGAAACTGTGGGAGGAGGGGAGGGTACGCAAGAGGAGGAGAGGAGTGTACGGAGGAGGAGGAAAGGGGGATGGATGGAACAGGGGAGAGGAGGAGCATACCCTCCCCTCCATACGCCCCCCTCCTCCACCTCAAGAGCTGTGCTCTAATTTCGCATTAGAGATTTGTACAAGCTTTTCCTTCTTTTTCTTTCTAGTTCTCTGCAGTAAAAAAAAAAGAAAAAAACGAATCGGAAGGCAGCGCTATGCTCGTGTACTTCTTCCACGTGTCCTTGCATTATTTTGCGCTGTTTTGCTTTTTATGTGACTCTCCGCTCTGACGCTTTTTGTAACACTCGTACATTTGTCTAAATGACGTATGGGTGCCGCCAAAATGCTGCAACATTCTGGGATGAATATCCGGGAGATGTTCGCCCTGAAGCTGAAAACCGGATTACTGCGCGCTGCTCCCCGCCGGTGCGCGCGCCCAAGGGGTCGGACATTTTGAGTGTGTTGTGGTCACGTGACATTCCTTGTCAGGTTGACTGGCCGGTGCACGCTGATCTATTTAATGAAGGGACAAACAATATTTTTAGCACCGCAATCTATTGCGGGACTTCGATTTTTTTTACTAATTTGCGTTTGTTTTTTATATTTCCTTGTTGTTATATCTATAAACAAATCTTCAAAACATTTTGTGCCATGCGTGCTTAGCAGAAAGTTATTCAGTGTTAAATAGAGAAACCGGTAGCCCAGTAAAAAATCCCAACAGCATGCGCTCTATTAGAAAGTGGTTAACAGAAGAACATCACAAATATAAATAAATATTCCCGATGTTTTGTAAAACTTGATTAGTTTTGCCATGTAAAAAGGTCATACAGGGTTTAACAAAAAAACTTATATGGGCACAACAAAAGCGACACCATAGACATATAGGCCAATAGAAAAGCTGACTCAATATTACCACACTTGGGAGTTGACAATAATTTCCCGATGACTTTGCAAGGTCCAATGATCTTATAAACAATAATGGATGCATGATATGAATAGAAACATATTGCAATTCACACAAATTACGGTGATTTCCAAAATCTAAACTAAATTTATATTTCCGTTATTTTATGCGAACGTTACTTTAATGCAAAGCACCAAAATTTCAACATTGAGTAAGATATAATGTCTGAAATAACGAAACGTATTTAAGCCAGTGCGCTGGCTGCTCAATCCATGAGCTACGAGGATGTAAAATTTTGGGTTTCCACATTCTTTAATTTATAAAAAAATATGCTAATGGGTGCATTATAACATCGTTTTTTTCGCGAAATTCGAGCAATTGGCGGTTCTAATAAAGTCAAATTTTCTAACATATTGATGCAGTGACCTATTTTGTTCAGCTGGCACCGCGCGTACATGTTGTATGAACATATTTATAACCAAAAGAAGCAAACATATATATGCGAGCTGGTAGGAAAACATCAAAATTTAAACCCGGAGGTATAGGTTATTATAAACGTATTCATCTGTTTGAATATCTGTAACCATGTGGTATGAACCTGCGGTTCGAGATTTAAATAAACCTGTAATATTTACTTAATACACGTTCTTAGTATTGTCACAAATGACAGATGATAAGGCAAGAGAAAACGGGATGAGCTATAGATTTAACAGGGACGAACTGGGGGCCAGAAACGAAGAACACAGTCCAGGAAAGTAGGAGCGAGCGTCGATGGTGGCAGCCGTATGACGCCTGGAGCGCGTCTTCGACTGGTGTGTTTGGCGTCCTAAACTGCTCATAAATCAGAAGTGGTCCCGAAATGGCAACAAATGACGTAACAAAAGCCAAAGTGTCATGCGTTGCATGTCGTGATCCTGGCGGTTGGTCATAGAAATACCAACGAGAAGCTGCGAGTAGCACAACCGAACGTCGCTGTCGTCACGGCATCCCAACTTCTGGTTGCCGAGCTTCCGTGGACTGTCAGACTGGAGAGCGACCTGCAGCAGAAAAGGCGTCTGCCCCATACACCGCAGCTGTTGGGGCGCCGCCAGGATAGCGACTGACGTTAGCATGACACTCCAATGATATCATCAGGTGGAAATCAAGGGACCACTATTTTGGACGCAGTCGGAAACGCGTTCTAGGCACTATAGCAGCGGCAAGCGAGGGTACGTCGCTCTAACAGCTGGCTATCGCGAGAGGGAATCAGTGAATGAATCGGCAATATGGCGCTCGGCTCTTCATCTGCTATGCTCGTCATCTCGAATATTCAAACTTGGGGAATGAGCTAGGGCGTGACTGACTAGGCAAGGTCATCCGGCATCCTTCTCTTTTACGCTCGGGGTAAGAGTTTACGCGGGACAACTGCGACCACGCAGATGTCCCACGTCGTGAGCGAAGCCTCGTGGTTCTCGAACCAGTGTCTCGCAGTAGCCTCCAGCGAAAAGTAGAGGTTCTGCAGGTACTGCTCGGCAGTACACCTGTTGTGCCACGCGCTCATAGTGCTGGATCCAGTCCTCGACGTCCTCATGGATCTCGCCGTGGATGGGCGTCGGCGTACGAGGGGCGACGGGTAGGTAAATGAGAGGTCATGGTTGGGTTCGTCAAATCTTTCTTCTGGGGGTCCGGTAGAAGTCCAAATTCAGGGGGCTGATCTTTGGTGCGGCGGCTTCCTCGGGGCTCGGTTGTCTCCACAAACGGTGTTCTTGGGCCGGGGGCTGAGCTTGCACTGCGAGGTCTCGGAGGGGTGCACTTCATGGGCTGCCGTACCCCGCACCTCCGCACGAAATGTCACGAATTACAGACTACGAGGCAGGAAAAAAACTGAATGAACTAAATATTTAATGGGGACTAACTTGTGCCAGAAACGAACAAGAAGAATGCACGTCAAAAAAGCAGCAGCGAGCGTCGACGACGGCAGTAGCAAGCTACGGCACGTTGGCATAACAGCTGGCTATCACGAAAAAGAATCGGCGAATGAATAGGCAAAACGGCGCTTGGCTTTTTATCTACTAATGCTCGTCATCTCAAATATTCTCAAATCGGGAAAGAGCTAGGTCGAGACTGACTACGCAAGGTCCTCTGATACCGCTCTCTTTTAGGTTTGGGGTAAAAGTATACGCGAATCTTTTAGTTGAACGCACAAGCGTAACTTTTCGATCACGCACGCGGCAATATCTGAATGTGTAAGGTTTTGATACCCGTCGAACTGAAATTTTTGAAGAAACGGCAATGCAGAAGGCACGAGCGTTCGGAAATACTTAAAAACCATGCGAGGGGCCCGCTGTTGAACTCTGATAAAGTCAATATTTTTATGATTAAGCATAGCAAGGGTAAATTGTTCACTGCAAACTTCTTTGGGCGTAAGTTTAAATAAATATTTATCCAAGGTTGATAATAAATCCAATGAGCCCTTTTTGTATCAGCATTTCTCCGCTATGTTTTTTTTTGTTTTTTGTTCAATGTGACTTTCCGTAGAACTAATCTTTGGTAAAAAAAACAAAACGTATTTATTATCAGCTCTCATACTGCGAGGCGGTAAGTGAAAAAATAACACAAGGGGGAATATTTTTTCGTGTTTCTAAAAATCCTCTAATAACATTAGCGATAATCGTCAGATAACAATATCAAAACTATCTTGCCAGAATCACTGACTGCTGGACTGATGTCTAAAGTGTGTGCTCCTTGGGGCGTAAGGACATCAGGGATTGCATATTCATATATCTGCGGCTGACATGACCTAAAATTATCCATGTAATACAAAACATCGTAATAACAAATATAATAACCTAATCTTTGATATTTCCCAACATAAGCCTTCAATTGATAATGCAGATGTTAGGCACGGTGCACGCCAAAACAATTTTTTTTTACTTCAAAAATAAACTATTTATCCGAACGGTTAACTCCTGCCCAATTGCAGCAATGTAGGTCCAGACGTCACGCCGAAGTTTCAGAGTTTGCAATTATACGGTTGAAATAATACGAGGGATTTTCTAAAACGTTCGATGGGGAAATGGCGGCCGACGAAGCCCACTCAAACATGAATATTAATAATGTGAGATACGGGAAAGGGACTTAATTTTCATACAAATTCTGTTCGAAAATCGTTTATTATTTTTAATAAGGTAAGAACACGCTCTGAAACATTTGCATCTGGTACAAATTGCTACGATCACTTTTGGGTGAACACAGCGTTCGGTGATGCGTGTGTATCTTTGTGGACTAAAAGCAATAGCTTTTTTATTATTGTGGGCTAAATTTTTTTTTTTCGTGGACGTCCTGCAGAGAGCGCATTTATGTCAGGGACAGACTCTTTATCTGGGCTATCCTTTCAGCTGGATCTCCCGAATAGTGTTCAAGAATCCATCTAAGAATAAACATCTTAGTATATTTTGAAGAATGTTTATGCACGATCGAAGTGATTACCACCATTTAAGTGCCAGACAATTCCGAATTCACTCAATTTATTCACTTGCACCGAAAATATAAATCAAATAAACAATTCAACCAGCTGCACGAGTGAAACTTACCCGACGGATGTCTTGATGTGGCCAATATCTTTCTCCTTCGTCTATGCGACGTTCTGCAAATGCCGCGTCGATTATCGTTGCCAAAATGTACCATTGAATACACGGAGATACCAGTTTCATCTTGAAGCAGCACTAGAGAACGAAGTATAAAATCTCGACTTCCGCAAGCCTATATACTCATAAATGAATGGAGCCTTGACATTTAAAATGCCTAGCCTTTGAGCGCCGTGCGCAAAACCAAACCGACAAACGAGCGTTTGTTACAGCTTGAGCGTCATAGCCCTCTCAGTGGCATTCAGAAAAAAGCGCCAGCGTGCAGATTCCCAGTTGTTGAGTTTGAGTCCCGGCCGCAGTCCTGACAATTTTACGGAGGGTGACTGCGAGCGGGGCACTGTGTAACAAAGACTTCGGCTACACGGCGTCTTCTCGTGACGCAGAACCGGGATCTCTGTCAAATGTCGAAGAGATGCCTTCAGGTGGTTGAAGATAATCCTCAGTCATAACGATATATTTAAAAAAACCGTGAAAGCTACACTAGTGCCGTTTGTGCAGGTGAGTTATTTGGCCAGGGGGACATAGTATACGAGACTAACTGTAACTGGCAGTCGGCTAATAAATTTAACTATAATAAAGTTGTGAACTTGAACTTGAACTTCAACTTGAGCATGCTTCTAGACACCCCAAGTAAAAGTCAGATGGATTTGTTAATTAATATTAGTGGTTGTACAAATGTCATAAAATCACCCACAAGAATTACGGTTGACTCTTCAACACTCCTCGATCTGTTTATTACAAATTTTGACTTAAAGTGCATAAAATCGGGGCTATCAAGCACAGATATAAGTGACCATCTGGCCGTGTTCATTTTCATAAAAAAAGAAATAGCTAAAATACAACGAAGCGGTTTGGTGCACCTTTTCAAAATATCACAGCGAATAGCCTTTCTTAATTCAGAAATAACCTTTTGGAGATGGACTGGAGCCAGGTTTTTGAGGAAATAGACGCGAACGAAGCATATAACGTGTTCTTGAACAAATTTAAGGCAATATACACAACGTGCTTTCTATATAAATCTATTAAATTGTCGAAAAGAAATCGTAAACCATGAATAACCCCAGAACTTTTGTTCAAAATAAATAGGGAAAATGTTTTGTGCAAGATATTCGTAAACATTAAGGACCCTGAACATCTTAAAGCATTTAAATCATACCGTAGAATACTTACAAGGGAATTAAGAAATGCTAGAGCAAGGTACTTTAATAACTACATTGTGTCCACACAATGCGGACAGACGTCCCATGGAAAAAGCTGAACATGTCCTGAATCGTTCGCACGAAATAAAGCAAATTGAGAAAATCCGCCTGTATAATATATAACTTACAGTAACTTTACTAGCAAATGCTTTTAATAACCACTTTGTAAATTTGACAAAAGGAAATCCAGGCGAAAACGCTTGCGCCTATATTAAACGTAAAAATGAAAGTGCGATCTTTTTTGAGCCAGTTATGTATATGGAGGTGATACACACATTTTTTGTCTTTGAAAAATAGTACAAGCTGTGACGCTCATGATATGCAGATAGGTCCGATAAAACATGCAATAGATATCATATCACCCTGTCTAACATTCATGCTTAATCTCTGCTTGCAGCTCGGGGCGTTTCCAAAAAAATATGCAGATAGCTAAGGTCAGCGTATTGTTTAAAAACGGTGAAAAGAACGACATGGCAAACTACAGGCCTATTTCTATCTTACCGGTGTTTTCGAAAGGCTTTGAAAAAATATTGCTTTCGCGCATGGTGAAGTTTTCAAATAAGCACGTTATAATCAATCCTTCGCAGTTTGGTTTCCATAAAGGCCGGTCTACCGAGCTCGCTCTTTTAGAGCAAAAAGAATATAATTTGGGCCACTTTGAGCAGAAAAAAATGACCCTTGGAATATTTATTGATTTTAGTAAAGCGTTCGATCATCTAAATCATAATCTGTTAATAAAATGACTATAAACATATGGCTTTTGTGGACAGGTATCAGCTTTAATTGCGTCATATCTTTCACATCGTAAGCAATACGTCCGTATAAATGGCTATTCTCCCAATATAAAACCAATTGAATCTGGAGTTCCCCAAGGAAGTATTCTAGGTCCTTTTTTGTTTAATTTATATGTCAATGATATCGTGAACTTAATAAAAAAAATCAAATATGTAATTTACGCGGACGATACTAGTTTACTATTTGCAGGTAATAACTGTAATGAACTATTAGATAGCGCAAATGAAACTCTAAAAGACCTTGTTAAGTAGTGTAGCTGTTATGTTCTAAAGATCAATGAAAATAAAAGAAAAGCGGTTTTATTTTACCCAAAAAACAAGAATGTTACTTTTACTTGTGATATCGTTTTAAATTCGACTAAAATTGAAGTCCTCACTAGCTTTAAGACTCTTGGTGCTGTATTCACGCATCAAATGCGATGGGATGATCATGTTAATTATATTTTGCTTAAACTATCACGTGTTGTTCGCTTGATGTATCGACACCGCCATATTTTGCCAAGAAGTGTCGAACTTTTAATTTATAACTAGGGCTCCGTGTTTTCGGATAAATCCGAAAAACTCCGAAAAACACCCGCCGGTAAAATTTTTGCAATTCGGATTTATCTGATAAACTCCGAATTGTTACGTGCCCCACAACAATTTTTTTTTTTTTTTTTTTACAATTTGAGCAGCGCGGGAAGAATGGACCTGGGAAAATAACACCATTAATATCTTTCAAGCCTCGGGCCGTTGTCATAAGAGGGTCTTACGGCTTGTCTCGTCAAGATTGGTTCAGGCCCTATATCAGGTCTGTTCTCGAGCACGCGTGTACAGTCTGGAACCCACCAACTGCTGTTGATAGAAATAAACTCGAAAGAGGTCAAAACTTAGCGGCTAGATATGTTCCCGGGAATTATAACAGGCGACTCAGCATGACAAGTCTGAAGAAATTCTTAGGCTGGGAATCTCTTGAAAAAAGTATGAAAAAACTACGGCTAAAATTATTTCATAACATTTACCACTGCAGAATTAGTATACAGCGCGAAAATTACATTTTCCCCCCGGTATATATCTCTCATAGTGTCGATCACGAACGAAAAGTACGTGAATATAAATGTAACACAAACCAGTTTAAATCTTCGTTTTCCCCTAAATCTATTAGCGAATGGCCTCAATTGCCTTCAAAGGTTGTTGACATTTTGGACAGTGACGCTTTCTGTGCTGCATTGTGAGAAGTGTTTTATTTTTGTTTCCCGTGTACTGGGTATGCATGTGCGCGTTCTGTTATGGTCCTTTGTATTGCTTAAATGTATCACATTAATGAAAATTTCCTCCCCGCTGTCCCCGGTGCTGTGGGAAAATGAATAAATAAAAGGAAACAGGTCATCGTACCTTCCGTGTCACGACAAAAGCCACACTTTTGGTTTCCAGTTTGGGCCATGGGATTTGGGATTTAGAGAAAGGAGAGGATATGTTTCTGGGGGTAACGGTGAAACCTATGGACCATAGAGATTGTACAAAATAGCGAAGAGGGGCAGTTGTAACTTCTCTATTACACCCTTAATCACTCCACCTCGCGCGGCCGTGGGATAGATTGATGGGATGACCACGAGCTTCCTTGCGGCTACCTCCGGCAGTTGATTGATTTTAAGGTTCCGACATTTATCGAAGCCACACTTGTGTGCCACTTTTGTCGTGGGACAACTTAGTATTGCCAATGACACCAACGCCAAATTCAACTGAACAAATCTTAATTGATATGAGCGCGTTTCATTTTTTATCTGGCATACGTTTGCATTCTATTATTATTTATTATTTTTGATAGGAAACGCTGCGAAAGTAATCTCCGAATTTCGGAGAATTGGGGATTTACGAAAAATAAACTCCGATAAACACCGAATTTTCGACAAGAAATAAACTCCGAAAAACACTCTCCGAATTTCACGAAAAATAAACTCGGAAAACACGGAGCCCTATTTATAACTCCTTATTTTTCTCTCATATGAACTACTGCCACCTAGTTTGGGGTAATAGTGCAAGTACAAACTTAAATAAACTACTTCTTTTGAAGAAAAAGACGCTAAGAAACATTTCCAATGTCCCATATGACCACCCTAGTGACCCCTTATTTAAAAGTTTACAATTGATTAATGTTAATAGTATATATAAACATCGCTTGTGTGTGTGCTATAAATCTGAAGTACAAAAAAATCATGTTAATCTGATATACCTGACTTCTCTGGCTCCAAAAGTACCAACTTACCCCACTCGAAGTTTGCGCAACTGGAAGTTACCCAATATTAGAACGACCTATGCTGAGCAAATGTTATCTTATACGCTTCCAAGCCTACTTAATTTCCTTAGCTCCGAAAATATTGATCCCATTAAGTCATCGAGAAAAGATATTCGAGAATTTTTTTTCAGTGTGTTTTTTAGTAGTAAATTTCCAGAACTTTGCACTGTATAATACTTTGTGTTTTCTGTGTCTATATATAAATGTATACATGTATGCCATTTTCATGTTACTGCGAAAAACGTTAATATTGCCGCCCGATTACTTTTTAAATTTCATTGTTTCTTGTTTATTTTTTCATGTGCAACTGCTGTTTGTGTAAGAGGGGGGCCGGGCCGGGACTCGTCAAGCTGCATGATGCAGCTTTTTTCCTCTGTCTCCCTCCATCATTTGTTTGATGGAAAAATTATTATTATTATTATTGTTATTATTATTATTATTAGCCGTGTTTCGTCGCGCACTGGGCTGGGCTGGTGCCGGGGTTGCGGGCCGCTGGGTCCGTCTGCTGGCGGGCCTGGGGTCACGTGGTGGCTGCTTCGCCATGTAACTATCGGCGGAGCGGTTGCGGCGTGTTTGCGGCGTGGCTTGTGGTTGGATTTGGCGGCCCGTGGCACCGGCCTCCGGTACAGTTTGGGGTGAAACGGGGTATGTTTTCCGCGAATTTAACTCTCCCTCTGTCTGTCTTTGTGCGGCTGAGGATTTTGAAAGCGAAGGTTGATTCTTTTTTACTCCGGTTATTTATTTATTCAGCTTGCCAACATGCTTTCGAACATGATTTTGTTGTTTCTTTTTTCATCT